TACAGGTGCCCACTACAATGTCCAGCTATTTTTTGGTTGTAGTTGTCATTGTTTTGTAGGTCTGGGCTGGATTCGAACCCACCAGCTTCCTCAAAGCAATCCTTTTGCCTCAGTTTTTCTATTTTTAGGAGAGTCTGGCTTTTGCTCAGGTTGGTCTTGAACTCATGAGCTCAAGCAAGCCATCTGCCTTGGCTAGGATTACAGGCATGAGCCACTGTGCTAGCCTGAAGATTTCCTTCTTTCTTTCTTTTCTTTCTTTTTTTTTTTTTTGAGACAGAGTCTCACTTTGTTGCCCTTGGTAGAGTGTGGCGGCATCACAGCTCACAGCAACCTCACTCCTGGGCTTAAGTGGTTCTCTTGCCTCAGCCTCCCAAGTAGCTGAGACTACCAGTGCCCACCACAATGCCCACCTATTTTTTGGTTGTAGTTGTCATTGTTGTTTTGCAGGTTTGGGCTGGATTCGAACTCACCAGCTCCCGTGTATGTGGCTGGCGCCCTAGCTGCTGAGCAACAGGCGTCGAGCCTAAATTTTCTTTTGATTGCTGCAATTTTTCCTAAGTCCAAGAATTTTTTAATGCTGTTAGTGCACAAGCAGATGACTCTTTCCTCTCTGACTCAAGTATGTGAGTTCTGTGGATTTTATACTAGCCCACTTCATGATTAATGTTATAGCAACTTTGGAAAAGAATTAAATTTTTGCATTCATTCTTGATTTTAGCAGAATAAACATTTTTGGTTTTTGGTAATGGGAGCACAGAGCGCTGGCCAGTGAAGCGGGGGTGCTGGAACCAGGACTGGGCTTCAGATCTTAGCCTTGCACATGTTTGATATTGGATGTTGGGCACGTTAGTTACTAAACTGCTCTGTGCCTCATTTTCTTTATTTATAAAATGTTCAGAATAATGACATCTGTCTTATAGGACTGTTATGAGGATTAAATGAGCTAATGTCAACAAAGCACTTAGGATAGTAATTTTGTAATCTTTGTACCATTTATTCTGATTCATGGGAAAGGCAGGGGCTAGTACTGGCAAGATTTGGTTCTGATGGTTCCTTTTGAATAACTGCCTGGTTTTTAACAATATGATTTTATTTCAGTATGGATTATTATGTTTTCCTTCTTGGTTTTTATTAGAGGGAAAAGTTTATGTAAGTGACTGCAATATTGCGTCTTAGTTAAAACTGGATTGGTTGACTATACGACTGGTTGACTAGAAATTCTTTGTTGTACGAAGTTTTAAAGCTTAATCTACCTAGGGAGAAAAAAAATTATTCCCCCATTTTGTTTGGTTTTTACTTCAAATAATGAAATAACAAAGCATAGATAATACCCAGCAACCTTTTGGAGGGCTTTTGAGTAAAGGTGATTTATTTAAAACTAAACACTGAGAAAATAAAGTGTCTATCGCCAGTTGAAGTCAGGGGAACCTGCAATTGTTATCAGATTTAACCTAGACCTTTTCACTAGCAGTTTGTTTTAAAACAACACATATTCTCTTTATAACAGAATGAATGACAAGCTTCTGACTCCAGTGAAGCATTTTGACTAATTACTGGGAGGTCACCTAGCATGATAGAGTGTCAGTTTGTTTTTTCTGGAGAGATATTTCCAAACAATAGTCACTTGGGAGTTATAACAGGCATGGAAGTTGCTATTGAAATGGTGAATTTGATGAACAAATCATCATGGATCTGTTGATGAATTGAGTAAATTAAATTTAATATATTACATTAGATAATGGCGTGATTAGGAGATCAAATGTGAAAATTGCTACCTATAAAAAGTTTCTTTATTGCAACATTTCCTCATCAGTTTCACTTTTTGTAGGATTTCAAATAATTGGCTTTGAAGTGTTTTAAAAAAATGACTTTTGGGTCTTTATATTTTGTGCTTTTCATGATGTGTTTAATTTGGTATTTTAGCAAACCAAACAAGAAAAAAAAATCCCTCAATTTGACTTTTGATAAAAGTTGCTTAACAAATAACATTTATGTATATTTTCAAAAATAGGCAGTATATTCTGAAAATTTTCTTCTAAATAATCGGTTTCCAAATTTATGCTTTTCTTTTTCCTATAGCAACATGAAACTCTGTGTAAGTGGTCTGTTCTTTATGATTGTTATAATTTTGTAGCCAGAAATCATTAGAAGCTAAGGGAGACACATATACTGAACTTACAAATGTATCACGTTGGATTACCAACAATAGACCTAATTGATAAAAGTGATTTACTATATGTTGTGTTAATAGCTAAACCTCCAAAGCCCCTAATCTCCCATGGAAATATTGCTTTGTAGAATGAAATCCAATGAGAAGTTCTGAGATTCCAGAGTGAATTTGTACATTCCTTAGGGGCATTTTTGCAAGGGAGGTTGTTGTGTTTTAAAGGTAGTTGATAAGAGACCTGCACCACCAACCCCAGACCTGCACCACCAACCACCATCATGCATTAGTCTATAGAAGGTATTTGGGTGTACGTACTCCTGTACCACTCGGTACCACCATTTAGCCAAGGGAAGTTTCTGACCATTTGCAGCATACGTTATAAATCAGGATGTCACTACCAGACAATCAGATTTGAACATTCCATGAATGAAGTAGCCTATATACCCCAGGAATAGATCATTTCACTATGTTTATGTCACACTGTTGATATGCCTGCATTTACGCAAGTCAGGATAGCACATTGTTTATTTATTTTAGGAGTAGGGAATTGATTTGTATGTTTACCTAATTTTGGATTAGTGAGCCAAAAATCAAAGTGGGTAATTTAGCATCATTGCTTAAATCCATGGGAAAATAACAATTATCCTTCCCACACCAAAAATTACTCTTTTATTCTTTGGGTTGTGAAAGAATGATTGTAAGCCTTCTCCAAGTTGGGCTGATGTCTTCTCTGTTTTAAGAAATTTCCTACTTGGCACATACTTGGGTAGGTCACCGGCCAGGTATTTGGGGAAGCTTGGAGGAAATAACAGGATATATTTGTGCAGTGAAATGAACTTGTTGAAGCTATAGTCTCCTAGTATCACTAGGGGATATCTCTACCACTTGGGAATGTGGCCACCTTTGGGGCCAAGTCTGTACACTCTTGGTTGGCTGCAGAGTTTTCTTTTTCCTTTTGCTAAAAAAAAATTTGTTTGCAGAGACAAGCTTATAAACCTGGCAACTTAGAAATTAGTTTCAAAAAATAAAAGCCAAAATATTGGTCTGAAGAATTAGGGGCCATAACTTGTAACATGTGACTTAGTAACAAAAAGTCACTTAAAACAAATGTAGGGTGTGGAACTAAAAAAAGTACGGTCAGGCAAATGAAAAGTTACTCATGATGCTGTCAATCAGAGATGACCACTGTTAACATTCCGATCTCTTTTACACCTCTCTTTCTTTTTTAAATCCCTAACTCTGTTATAGGTAAAAATTTGTGCCCTCATCTTTATTACATTATATTATAAATATTTCTCTAAATATTTAGAATTTCTTCATATCCATTTTATTAAGCTCTTATTACAGCAGTATGTAGATATAAGAAAATTTAATCCTTTTCTTCTTATTGGAAATTTAGGAGGTTTGCTGTTTCCTTTATTATAAGTGATATTGTGATGAAAATCTTTATACTTAGCCAGTGCCTGTAGCTCAGTGGGTAGGGCACTGGCCACATATATGGAGGCTGGCGGGTTCGAACCCAGCCTGGGCCTGCTAAACAACAATGACAACTGCAGCAAAAAATAGCTGGACGTTGTGGCAGGAGCCTATAGTCCCAGCTACCTCGGAGGCTGAGATAAGAGGATTGCTTAAGTCCAAGAGTTTGAGGTTGCTGTTAGCTGTGACGCTTAAGTCCAAGAGTTTGAGGTTGCTGTTAGCTGTGACGCCATGGCACTCTACTGAGGGCGACATAATGAGACTTTGTCTCAGAAAAAAACAAAAACAAAGAACAAAACAAGAAAAGAAAAACTTTATACTTAAATCTTTGTCTAGTTCTCTGCCTAATTCCTTTGGGAAAATACCCTGAAAGTAAAAGTACTAAGTTAAAGAGTAAATGCTTTTAAAACCAAGATACATGTATATGTTGTCAAATTGCTTCCCAAATTAGTTATATCAAGGTACACGCTGATCAACTGTGTATGAAAATGATCTTCCTAATGATTTCCAAACACTTAAGGAGATGAGGTCTTGCTGTGTTGCCCAGGCTGGAGAGCAGCAGTGGCGGTATGATCATCGCTTACTGCAGCCTTGAACTCCTAGGTTCAAGTGATCCTCCCACCTCAGCTTTCTGAGTAGCTAGGATTACAGGTGTATACAACCATGCCTGGCTAAGTTTTAAACCTTTTTTTTTTTTTTTTTGTAGAGATAGGATCTCACTATGTTGCACAGGGTGGTCTTAAACTTCTAGGCTCAAATGATCTTCCTACCATAGCCTCCTGAAGTGCTGGGCATTAGCCACCACACCTGGCTCCAACAAATATTTTTGTATTATCATTATGAAAATATTTTCCTAATTTCTTTTTTTTTTGCAGTTTTTTTTTTTTTTGGCCAGGGCTGAGTTTGAACCTGCCACCTCTGGTATATGAGGCGGGCGCCCTATTCCTTGAGCCATAGGCACGGCCCAATTTTCCTAATTTTTTTTTTTAGAGACAGAGTCTCACTTTGTCACCCTTGGTGGAGTGCCATGCATCACAGTTCACAGCAACCTCCAGCTCTTGGGCTTAGGCGATTCTCTTGCCTCAGCCTCCCGAGTAGCTAGGACTACAGGTGCTTGCTATAATACCTGGCTATTTTTTTGTTGCAGTTTGGCTGGGCCTGGGTTTGAACATGCTACCCTTGGTATATGGGGCCAGCGCCCTACTCACTGAGCCACAGGCGCTGCCCAATTTTCCTAATTTTTATAAATGGTATTCTTTTGATTACTTAATTAGGTGAATAATTTTTCATTTTTATAAAAAATGTGTGAAATTTCTGTGGGGCATTTTTAAAATTGTCTTTCTTTTGCATGTTACAGGATGTGACAGTGATCATTTTCGCTGTAATAATGGACAGTGTATTCCAGCATCCTGGAGATGTGATACGACCAAAGACTGTTCAGATGACTCGGATGAACATGGTTGCCGTAAGTGGGGAAGGGACAAGCTCAGCTCTAGTTTTAATAACGTTAGTGTTTTATAGTGATTTCAGCTATAACCAAGAGGGGGGCTATGCTTTTAGTGATAGATCCAGGCCTCAAGTCTTTTGAGATCTGTGTAGTTGAATAGAGAACTGATGGTGTTGGTAATTGTTTTACTCCCATCTGAGGTAAGAGTTCAATTCACATCAGTTTCATCTCACTCTTATCCCTTGACCGTGACCTTGGTATGAAATGAATGATATGTAAACAAATTTGGGTGCAGTTTTCTGAAGCCTCTAGTTTCTGATACTCACTCTGTAAATTTTGTAAACCAACAAGAACACACAAAACTTAGGTAATTACAAAATCCCTTTTACATTTTCTCATTTAGTTCTCTCAATACTCTGAGGTAGGCTTTGGATTCAGAAACTGGGACTTAGAGAGGTTAAGTCATTCATGAAAAGCCTCACAGTGAGTCCACACACTAATCCTAGCCCTAGGTCCATCACTCTTCCCCTCTTGCCATGGGAGATCATCAGTTCATACTACCGCAATTTTACCATTCTGATAGGTGAATGGGCAAGGGTTACCATCCAAAAACCAGGAAAGCAGCTGAAAAATTAATTTTGTCTTGTATTGTCCATCCTGTGACTCAGCAGAACAGTCAAAGTCAAACTTTGAGCTGTTTAGGTGGTGATGTGTTTGAACATGGGAGGGTGGGTGAGGAATAGGGGACAGTGCTTCTCAGGCTTTCATGCAGAGGTAGATCGCCCCGGACCTTATTAAAGTGGAAATTTTGATTCCACATGAATGTCTGAGGTGTGTCCCGCCTTCCTGTGAGTCTGCATTTCTACTAGCTTCCAGATACTGCTGCTGCTAGTTTGCGGAGCACTTTGAGCAAGGGAGTGGCTCTATTTGGAGAGATGGGATTGTCTGCTATCTATTTGCCTCCTCTGGGCTTGCCTGAGTTCATTTTTGGTTAAACAATAGGAGTGAAAATGCACGAATTCTGGGATGAAGCAATAAGTGAACAATTAAACCAACAATAATATCCAGATATTGTTCTCTGTGACATTAATGATAACAATAATACCCATGGCAACAGTGATAGCAACTAACATTACATGCCATTTTCACATTTGTTATTTAACTTGTTTTTTTAAAACAACAAACCATGAGTCCTTATTTTATGATGTGCGCATTGAGGGGCAGAGAACCCGCCAGAGATACTAAAGCAGGGAAAGTGTGGAAATAATAATTATTTGATTCTGGGTTTTCTTTTTTGAATCTCCTGGATTTTCCAGTTTATCATGATTTTACTATTAGTAAAATAATTTAACAATAACTCAAGGTTAATTTTTTTTTTTTTTGCAGTTTTTGGCTGGGGCTGGGTTTTAACCCACCAGGTCCGGCATATGGGGCCTGCACCCCACTCCTTTGAGCCACAGGCACCGCCCACTCATGGTTAATTTTTACTTATATTTTTAATTTAGTATTTTTGTACATATGTGTGTACATTTTTGTGTGTACATATGTATGTACATATGTGTGTATTACACACATACAAAATTATAAAAATACGTATGTGTGTATTACACATAATTACACATATTTTGTACATTTTTTAATTTTTAATTTAGTATTTTTGTACATGTGTGTGTTTGGGCTATTTGTTTTATTCTCTGTTTCTATGTTGCTTTGGATTATCAGTTTTCTGTGATACCATTGCTGAGGTTATTGACTCTGATTATAGTCTACAGACTTTAGGAGAAGGGTTGTTGTTGCCTTCAATAAACTGAGCAAGAATTGACATATGGCATCTGAAATAAGCATTGCTTGCTGGTATCACGGGGTGAATGCTTGCCACACTGAGTCCTTTTTTGGTTCCTCTTAGCTCCTCCATCTTGCCGCACAGGCTATGTCCCGTGTCTGAGTGAGGGGACATGCATCCCTAACACCTGGGTGTGTGACCACGATCAGGACTGTAGCGATGGCTCAGATGAACAGCATTGCCGTAAGTATTTGGAGATGGTTCTTGTTTTGGCCCTGTGGACACCTAAAACCTCAGCTGTCACAGACAGGTTACACACATTGATGATTCTATATCAATGCATGACAAGGAACCCAGGCCAGCAATCTCATTCTGGCTTGGGGTTGGTTGATATTGGAAGTGAATGCACTAAAGAATTGTAAATATACCTCCATAAATTAGAAATGGGATAGGTTCTTTAATGTGGATTATATTCTACTCAAGAAAGAAACAAAACATTTATTGATATGTATAGGTGGGGGTCTTCATTTGTGTGATTGACAGTTGGATGAGTCCTATTTTTGTTGCATATTTTGCATTCAAGACTTATAGCCCTTTCACCCCAGTACTAAACTCTCTTCTTTTTGACTGAGTGCAAGTAGGAAGGTCTGTTGGAAGCGGTTTACTTTAGTGACTGCAGCAAGAAGGTAATAGCAGCAATGATACGAACCTTGTCAACTGCTGCATTTGTGGGCATTGAGGGGTTTGGCATGGTAACCTGGAAGAAATCCTTAAATTCTAATTTCTTTGGTATCAAACTGGAAAAGAATGTTTTAATATTTTTGGAAATAATTTTATTTTTATTTTTTTGAGACAGAGTCTTATTATCACCCTTGGTAGGGTGCTGTGGCATCACAGCTCATAGCAACCTTAAACTCTTGGGCTTACGTGATCCTCTTGCCTGTGCCTCCCAAGTAGCTGTGGCTACAGGGGCCTGCCTCAATGCCTGGCTATTTTTTGGTTGTAGTTCTTGTTTAGGCCTGGGCTGCATTCGAACCTGCCAGCCCTTGTGTATGTGGCTGGCGTCCTAGCTGCTGAGCTACAGGCACTGAGCCAAAACTTATTTAGTCCTTATTTAGGACTAGTAATGGAAATTTTATGTCCTTCAGTATGTCCTAGATGCATTTATAGAAGACTGGGAATTTATCTCAGGATTTTTGGGCTCAATTTTGAGTGTGAATTCTTTTCAGTTAAGCTACTAGCCATTTGAGAAAGAATAGAAATTCTCAAAATGCCCATGAATTTTGCTTTGGTTCAAATTTAAAAGTCTGTGTAATTAAATAACATGTTGGGGCCCATTAAGGACAGCTGTGGGGTCTGCCAGCACCAAAGGGATGGTGATCCTTATTAGGGCAAGGTGGTTAAGAGGAAACCAGCTAACTATGTAGGGTCTGCAGAGTGGCAATGGTGACAAATGGCAGTCCTGAGGAAGACAGAGACAGGAGCTAATCAAGGCCACCCAGGGGCACAACATATCCAGATGAGGTCCAGTTATGAGTCAGGATTTAAGGTGGCGTGACAAAGGGGACAGCTGTATCCAAAAGAGGGATGTAAGGGTGTAGTTCAGAAGTGCAGAGGGGAGGAAGGAAAAGTGCTAGGCACAGTAGGGAGCAGGAGGAAATTCTTATTTCTAGGAAATCTTTCTTGCTGTCCTCTCAAAAGGCCCTGGGGGAAAGGTGGGGTAACCTGCAGGAAGCAGATGCTCAGTGGGAACAGAATGGGGCTAGACTGAATCTCTGGATAGCCTTGCCCAGGCTTTATTCAGCATTGTATCCCTAAGGCCTGACGTTCTGTCTTGGCAGGAGCAGGTTCTTAATAAATAGATACTGAATGATGGGTTATTGATATTTTGGTTAGATGAACCATTTTGGCTTCATTTTCTCCCCACACAGAGTAGGAAGAAAGCTGAATTTTATTAGGAAAAGATCATCTGGTAGATGATGGAACTACTGAGTAACTACTTAGGAAAAGAGACTGGAGATAAGCTGACAGCAGTCATTTAAGTACAATGTCACATGCCATTTTAAATGAGTATGGATTTTGTAAGGGAATTCTGACATTTTCAATGATAAAAATTCTTTATTACATATCCTTTAACCACAGACAAAATATGCTACCACTTTGCTCCCAAGGCCACCAAAGAACTGATTGTGAAGCCCGTTGGGCACTTTTCCTTCCTCTTTATACTAGATGGACCTTTCTTTTCCTTTTGACTGGGCCATCACCCCCTTCTCCCTGACACTGCTGTCTTTGCACCATGACTCTAAGTGTCCTGGCTCTCTTCCTAATTGCTTTAGTCATTCCTGAGCAGAACACACCTCTCTCTTTTTTTTTTTTTTTGGCCAGGGCTGGGTTTGAACCTGCCACCTCCGGCATATGGGGCCAGCGCCCTACTCCTTTGAGCCACAGGCACCGCCCAGTACACACTCTCTCAAGATGATCTTGTCACTCTCACGATTTCGGTAAGAAATCTGTGGGCCCATGAGACCCAAGTCTATGCTTAGAACCCAGATTTCTTGCCCACTATCAGTCTCATATATTCAGCTACCTGTTGGCTGAATATACAAGAGGCATCTCCAAGGTGACTGAACGCAAGGTGCTCCAGTTGAAAATAATCATCTCCCCCCTGAACTGGCCTTTCCTTCTGCACTTGGTTGTCTACATGTTTTATATCTTTTTATTAACGGAAATATCACTTAACCCACTGTAAGGTATTGGCAGAAAATACAAAATCAACTTCAAACTATGAGACATGGTTTAAATTAGACTAGAACAGGCGTCCTCAACTACAGAGGACATTTATCCAGCCTGTCAGGTGTTTTTGTCACCGCTGCCTGTCCTGCTTAGCAGCTGACTTGTCCTGGGGCCCGCAGTCCGGCCCTCCAACAGTCTGAGGGACAGTGAACTGACCCCCTGTTTAAAAAGTTTGAGGACCCCTGAACCCCTGAATTTTATAAAACATATTTCTTTAATTTTTGTAGAGACAGAGTCACCCTCAGTAGAGTGTTGTGGTGCCACAGCTCACAGCAACCTGCAGCTCTTGGGCTTAGATGATTCTTTTGCCTATATAATAATTATTCAAATATGTTGAAATTTGTTTTTAAGGTTATGTACATGGTCAATTTTTGTAAATGTGAACCTGGGAAGAATAAGTACTCTAATTATAGAATACATGTACATTATTATTATTATTTTTGTAGAGACAGAGTCTCACTTTCACCCTCAGTAGGCTGCCATGGGGTCACACAGCTCACAGCAACCTCCAACTCCTGGGCCTAGGGAATTCTCTTGCCTCAGCCTCCCAAATAGCTGGGATGACAGGCATCTGCCACAAGGCTATTTTTTTGTTGCAGTTTGGCCAGGGCTGGGTTTGAGCCTGCCACCCTCCATATATGGGGCCAGTGCCTTACCCATTGAGCCACAGGTGCTGCCCTATAAAACATATTTCACAACAAAGTATTTTATTAGGTGAAAAGGAAAGATTGCTGCATGTGACATGTAATTAGTTGGTATGAGAAGGATGCCACAGTTCCCTAGCACCCACCCTAGAAACCTGGAAGTCATTCTTGATTCTTTCCTCTCCTTTGCTGCCCACATTTAGTCAACATCCTGCCTATTTGCCTTATAAACATTTGCAAAGGTCATCTCTTCTTTTCCGTTTATGGTCCCACTGCCAACATCCCTCCTCTGGTGCCAACATCCCTCACCTGGACAGGCCTCCCTGGCTCATCCTGTAACTCCTCAGGCTTTCCCCACAGGGATGCTGCTCTGCCCTAGAGCCTCGGGCAGCTCCCTGTCACCTCCAGGAGAAAGTTCCAATCCCTAACACAGGGGCCTCCTTGGTGCAACTGGTGCTTTACCCCCTTGTCTGTCCCTTGCCATTCCTGCCTTGAAATGTCCCTGGAGTACAGCAGTTCCTTTGGGCATGGTGTGCTGTGCCCCAGCCGCTCTCTCCGTGCGTGCGTGTGCCTGAATGTTCACTGCTGCACTGTCTTCTTTCCTTTTTGCGTCTCTGGTTGATATTTCACCTTTAAGACCCTGGGGAGGTGTCACCTAGTCAAGGAAACTGTCCTGTCCATGCTCTTATTCCAGAGTGAATTAAGCACCCCTCTTTGATGCTTCTTCAATTCCTGCATGTCTTTAATCCACTTTCATAAGTGTTTTCTAATTATTTGTTTCAAGTCCCCGCCCCCCAAGATTGTGAGCTCCTTGAGGGGTGGGGATTATGCCTTTTTATCTTAAGATTCCCGTGTTGGTATACTTTGTAGTACATAGATGTTTGTATAATGAATGAATAAATGAATCCCAGAATTGGATTGGTTGATGGAGCTGTGTAATTTTAGTTTGTTCTTCCTCTACGTTTGAACGAGCTTTTGATTGCTCCTTCATAAATACTTTGAAATATTCCATATATAATATGGAATTATTTATGCTGGACTTTAAGAAGAAAGCTGAGTTAATTAAAATAATGCTGGCCCCTGATTTAGTTTCTTTTCTTATTTTAAGAGTACTTATGATTTGCCTTTTCAGGAATAAAAGAAAGTTCTTTAATTTTACATGGAAATTGGCAATATATACTTATCTTTTTAACCTTATTCAAATAAAATCGTGTCTCTTATGGGTAGAATTCAGACATTTACGTGTCTTCTAGAAAAGTCTATGTATTCTGCCTTTATTAATAGAGGTAAAATTTAACCCACAAATGAAAGATACTAGGGGAAAATATGAAATATACTGTCAAAGTGTCAGTAATAGGCTGACTAGAGATATTTTGTTTGCTGCTCAAGAATTATATGACACATTCAAAATGAAATTTTATTAGTTAAACAGAAAGAAGGAACAAAGTGACAAAAAGGACATAATCAATTAAACATGGAGAAGGGTAGTGACCATGGTCAATTTTTTTTTATATCTTATCACCATAATAATAAATATATATGTTTGAATTTTTAAGTTCCAAGTCTAATGCTTTCATTGTCGACTTGTATTTTAAAAAAGTTTTTCTGGCTTGGTGCCTGTGGCTCAAGCGGCTAAGGCACCAGCTACGTACACCTGAGCTGGTGGGTTTGAATCCAGCCTGGGCCCGCCAAACAACAATGACAGCTGCAACCAAAAACCAGCTGGGCATTGTGGTGGGTGCCTATAGTCCCAGCTACCTGGGAGGCAGAGGTAGGAGAATCACTTGAGCCCAGGAGTGGGAGGGTGCTGTGAGTTGTGATGCCACGGCACTCTACCCAGGGGGA